AACCTCTCCTTGGAGTTGTGCTCTCTTGCACCAGGAGGGAATATGATTCCATTTATTTATTTATTTTAAATTTATTTTATCTGTTTTAGTACCCAATAAACTTGTTGTTTTTTCCAACTGGCACGACAAGGCTCTGGCTATTTTTAAAGAATGTGGTTCATTTGATTGAATCTAATGAATGTTTAGTGCTGTTGAAAATAGCTGGAGTCAGAGCCAAGAATAATGTACTGAAATGTGCTGGTTGAGCAAGGACTGCTTCTCTCTGCCAATCTGTTTCCCTCCAGTCATTCAGATTTACCTGGTTTTGCAAGTAGCATTTGCAGGCAAGATGCATTGATCAAGGTGCTTTTTAATACTAATTCCAAAGGCCACTAGTGCCAGAGACATATTTTGTCACACTCATTTCAAGACACAGCTAACCATGACAGCTCTTCTTGTTGTTCACTGTAGGATGTCTAATCTCTGTTTCAGACCACTTTAAAGGGAATGGGAAATGCTGATATCCTTTTATTTCACATAGGAAAATTGAGGCATGAAATGGTAATTTTTTTTCCCCTAAAGTCACACAGAAAGCAAGTGACAGAATGAGTAATGAAACCAGCATCTACTGGGCTGATTTCTCCATGAACTGAAGCAAGACCATAATCCGAAAACAAGTTCTGCTAAGTCCTGGTGGTTCTCACTGGTTTTCAGAACATCCATGTTTACTGTCCTGCCTGCACCCTCTGAATTGCTCTGTAGAGGTACCTAAATGTCCCCATTAAAAAAAACTTAAATTTCATGCATGTCTTTGCACTATCTGAATTTGACGCTGCAAGACACCAAATATTTAAATTGTGTTTTTAAAACTGTGCAAATCCATCTTCCTTTTGCCATCCATCAGTTATTTCTGTTAGATAGTTGGTTTGCTATTCCTCCCTAAGAAAGGGGTAGCTAATTCTTAAGCTTCATTGGATTTAAAAAATAAATCAACCATAGTACATCTTATTCCATGATAGTGATGTCCATAGGGATGGATTTTCTGCAGAGATCACTTTACACCCTAAAGCACAATGTAGGATTGACTTGCATACGTAATGAACAGATGCTCCTGTCAGCTATTACATTATTCACCTCCCTATGTACGTGATGGGGGGAAGGAAACAGCACCTGTTACTATGGGAGAAATACTGTCACTGCTGTTCTGCATTACAGACTCCAGGGCAATCTGGGCCAGGCGTGTTTCACTGCATTTGTGTTGACCCAAAATGAAGCCATGCCACTTTACATCCCCTCGTTATTTTGTCCTTTGTTTTCCTCAGATAGGTCCCTCAGTTCATAACCTAAGAAAATAAAATTGCTGCTGCAAGTGTGAGAGAGCACTCAAAGCCATGAAAAAATTTGTTTTCCATCTTTTACCCCAAATTTTTCTCAGGAAGGCTGAGTAAAACTATTAGAACTTATTGCCCCTCTACAACAACAGTACTTTTTACAGACCATCTCAGATTTCCTATTTAATATGAAAGTAATTCATATACCTGGGGAATTTCTAAAGGAGTATTTAAGAGTGGACAGGAGTAATTTCTTTGTCATCCTGACATTGGACTGAGATGACTTCCCGTTCATCTTCAGTATTGGGCAGGGCAGCACACATGGCCCATGGTGCAGGCACACTGCTAATAGACTCAGCTTCAGATGCAGCCAGCCAGGGCCATAAAATTTTTCCTGTTCACTCCACTGCAGGTAATGATTGGAGCATTTGGAGTGTGTTTCCAGGAGAAGTTTCCTTAAAGAACTCCTGTGACTCAGTCTTCCAGTAAAGGGGGTTTATAGCAAAGAGGGAGGGTGCCTTTTTACAGAGGCAGGTAGTGATAAGACAAGGGGGAATGGTTTTAAAGTAAAAAAGGAGAAATTTAAGTTAGATGGGAAGAAATTCTTTGCTGTGATGGCAGTAAGGCACTGAAACAGATTGCCTGGAGATATTGTGGCTGCCAAGTGTTCAAGGCCATGTTGGATGGGACTTTGAGCAACCTGATCAAGTGTAAGGTGCCCCTCCCTATGGCAGCAGGGTTCAAATAAGATGACCTTTAAAGTGCCTTTCAACCCAAACCATTCTATGACTCTATTCTTTGACTCAGGCATAGGTTAGAGCAGGGGCATGGATCTTTTCCTTCTCGGGTGACTGATAATTCATGGACCACATAAATTCATCCTGCCCAATAATCTTCTAGTCCCAGAGAAGCAGCTCCTTGCCCTTCACCTCAGGCAAGAGGGCTCTACAGATTTTCATCCTCCACACAATCTCTGCAACATTTCTACATCCCAAAGGTTGAATTCCCTACTTGAAACTAAAGAATCAGTGCAGCTGGCAGCATAGTGCCAATTTGCTGCTGCTGACAGATGTTTTTCCCAGCTAGGGCTGGAGCTGAACTAGACTGCCCACAGCATGTCTCCTCCTCCCCTTTATAGGGGCTAATTGATATGGTGTGGTTATTAAGAATATGGCTTTCAGCCTTATTTTGTGAAATATTTATTCCATGTATCACTCATCAGTGAGTATGTGTGGATGTTCGTGTTTCTAAAGAGCAACTTTATAGAGATAATCTTCATAACACTGCTGGATCTGTAGAATGGGGAGGGGCAGAGCCTGCTTCCTCCCACAATAATTACTTCAATTCTGTTTTAATTAGGGAAGGAGGTTTTTTAAAGACCTGAAATTGCACCTTAATTATGTTTTAAAGTTTAGCTGCAAATACAAGAGCTGCAACCTTGCTTCCCAGTCCTCCTCCCAGTCTCAAACTCCATGTCCTTGCGCTGGTTTAGTGAAGACTCATTCCCTGGCAGGGTTATTGTAGTGCCTCTGCTGGCACACTCTCCATGTTTTTCCACCACTCTGGCTCTCAGCTGATGGCTCTGATCAGCCCAGTTACCCCCTGCCTCCCCAAACTCCCCCCAGCATGCCAGGCTCACACAGAATCACAGAACATGCTGAGCTGGAAGAGACCCACAAGTCTCCTCAGGATGGACAACTCTTCCAGGAGTCATGGGAATTTAGAGGTGGAATGCTAGAGGTGAACAGCTTAGGCTGTTTCCTACTTTCTTAAATGAGGAGTGTTAAAGGTTTTCTTAAGATGATTTTTTAAACCAACCAAGAGCTGGGATCTGGCAAACCAGGCTCTGGGTATGGGCTGCTCCTGCCTCAGGTCCTGTATTGCAGGTCTGAGCAGATGCCACATGAGCAGTGAAATTCCAGTGAAGCCCTCTTCTGCACTTCTTCTACCCCTCTGTCTGCACAACGTAGGCTGAGATCAGGGGGGGCAGCCAGCCCATGGGGCAAGAGGTGGGCATGCTATGCAAGGGTGTGTTAGAAAAGAGAGAAGCAGTTCAAAGTAGAAAGAGAAGTGAGGAGCTGCCTTCTGAGAAAAGCCCTGCTGCAAGTTTCCTGAATCACTCAGAGGACCTGAGTAGAGCTGCTGCCTGGAGAGCCATGGCAGGGACAAACACAGAAAGAAGAGGTGCAGAAAGTGAGTGTCCCAGCTGGTTTCCAGCCCACCTTTTCCTTCTCTGGCTGCAGCTGTGGTTTCTGCTTCATGTGTGACATTATTATCTCCCTGCTACAGGCACAAGAGCCATGAGTGCACCCTCGAGACATTCCCTTGCAGCTCCCAGATAGGCAAAGACCCAAGTCAAAGAAAGACACAACACACAGCAAATGGGAAGCAGTTACAGAGCCCTTTGTTCTCATGTACTGAAAACACCTTGGTGCTCAAGGGCATTGGCAAGAAAATGTGCATGCTTCGGGCGTGTTGCAAGGTTGTCAGTCCTTCCTCTGAGGCTGTAGTCAAAGAACGGTTCCTGCAGAGCAGTCAGAAGTGAAGCAGAAAGGTTTCATATTTGCCAGTGCGGTGGAGGGAGTTTCTCAGTTTCTCCTCTGTCCCTCTCCTGGCACCAGTTACTGGGGGTCTTTCTGCCAGGACTCCTTCAGGGTCTGCACGATCCCACCCAATGGCTACATGGAATCACTCAGTCCAGGCCTGCCTCTGGACAAGAGCACCCTGAGGTGGGTTTGTGAGCACCCTGCCATGACCCCAACCCTCCCTTCCTGGCCAGAAATAGCCTTTGTCCTCCTGGGAATGGCACTTACCCCAAAGCCATTGCCAAAAGCCTTAGTCCAGATCAGCAGTCTGTGGCACCAGTAGAGCTGTACTCGCATGGGCTTTAGCCCTGACACACAGTGGCACAAAGTGTGGCACATCTCCCCTCTGCCCTTCCCTATCAACACTTACATCTACCTGTGAGAAGTAGCTTGTTGGGTTTGTTCAGCTTTTGATGCAAGAGTGCAAAACTATGATGCTGTTGCTCTGGAATCCTGCCCGACCACTCCTACCAGCTGCCTCCAGCAAGGTTTGGGATGTTTTTGGCACCTCCAGTTGCCTATGCTTTAGGTGGGAAATCCTAACACAACAGGCTGGCACCTTCCAAAGCAAGCTGTGCCTCTGGATCTCGAGTGTCTCGGTCCGTGTGTCTGAAGGGTAGTCATTCCCTCTGCAGTGCTTCAGGCAGGTCTGCTGCTGCAGGAAGCAGGCAGAACCCTTGGGATCACCGCCGGCTGGGCAGTATTTTCAGCCAGTTGTAAAGAGTTTTAGCTGTCAGATGCTTAAGTTAAGGAATGGCACTGGGGGCGGGGAGGGAAGCCAAGAACATTCTGAAGTTTAAAAAAACCCCACGGCAATACAAGTTTTGCCTTTTAAAGGCTTTTGGTGGAACGCCCCCCATCCGCAACATATCAGAGCTTTAGCAAACTTCCTGCCGGGCAGTTTTTATTTCTCGCTCCCGATCTCAGATACCGCCTGTCTGGGCGCAGATACCGCAGTTCTGCATTTCTTCCTCCCGAAAACTCTTTTTTTTTTTGCTTCCAAGCAGCAGCGGAGGCCGGTCCGGCCGCAGCCCCCCTCCCTCCGCGGCCGGGCCGGGCCGGGCC